GTTTAATTCACATAGCAGTACATGTTAAATCATTATGAAAGCTCGTGATAGGCAGAAAGGTGAAATGCCCTTGTTGGAGTGGATGATTTTGCAGTATCTGCATCCTAAAGCAAGTAAAAGTAGTTTTAAAACAACAACCACGTAAGAATTTCAAGGTACGTCTTTTTCATAAGGAAGGCCTGTCTAACATAAAGAGCTTTGGTACAACTTTTATCTTTTATGAAAAGAGCCCAGTGTGGGCAAGCCCTGAGCGTCAGCTAGCGCCAGCGAACAGCTTTAGCATCAGCAGGAAGGCAGGTGAAGGTGGTCTTTTGACAAAGATTCTTTTTATTAAAATATTGAATTCCTTGGGTTTTACAGGCTTGGATCAGGATAGCTACAAAGAAATGCTGAGAGTACTGTAGTTCTGCAAGGATAATTTACTCTGGAATAAAAATGTTTTTGTGTGGAACATCTACATTAATTTTACCATTATGAATTCAGAAAGCTATTGAACAACTTGAATGCTGTAGGCTACTAGTTCTAGCATTGCAACTTTATTTGTGGAGGTAGGGAGGATACAGTTAAGAAAGAAACTGGACATAATTTGGCTTTTGTATGTCGTCTTTCACTTACTGCTCTCTGTCTCTGCATTTTTAAATAGAGCTGGTTTTTTATGGGTTGTACAAATCTTTTCTTAGATCGGAAGACTTAATGAAATTATATATGTATCCTGGCATTGAGTTGCAACCAAGTTAGCTCAGTTTTTAGTGGTTAATAACACTTCACTGTCACGCACAGTACCTTTTAAAGATTATCCATATTAATATTAGTATTTGAAGCCATGCCTTCAAGTAGTCTTACTTTTCTAACATAGTGGGATTTTTAATATACTGTTCTTTAATATACATTTTATAGTCTAATTTATTTTCCATGATTGGAAAAAAAAGTTCTTTGAATAATTTATATTTTCAATCAAGGGCTGCATATGATACATTAGCAGGATGTCGTGGACATCCTGTGTCCAATTTTTAATTTTAAACAGAAAGCCATTTTAACGCCTTCTTATCTGTAGCAGCTGTCCACACTTCTAGAAATTTAAAATTAATGCAGTATGTCTGAGACAATGTTGTGATGGGGCAGAGCAAATGATGAGCTGGGAACTTGGAAGTCCCATTGGCTTATTTCTCTTTATTGTCTTACACTGTGATTACGTGAGAAAAGAATGTTCCAGCTCACGACCACTCTGATATTTCATTGACTATTGTAAGTTTTTGAAATGTGTTAAAATATACATTATAGAGCAGTTTGTATGTTTAAAGGTGTATGATAACTATCATTCTCAAGGCTGGACAAACAGGCTGAAACTGGTCCAGTGTGTGACAGTTTATTTGCTGCTAACATATATTATTTTGCCCCACCAGCCCTGTGCAGTTTGCAGGTAGAGGGTTATTTCATTGACTATTGTAAGTTTTTGAAATGTGTTAAAATATACATTATAGAGCAGTTTGTATGTTTAAAGGTGTATGATAACTATCATTCTCAAGGCTGGACAAACAGGCTGAAACTGGTCCAGTGTGTGACAGTTTATTTGCTGCTAACATATATTATTTTGCCCCACCAGCCCTGTGCAGTTTGCAGGTAGAGGGTAGGAAATAATGGCAAAAGGAGCTTTGCTGTGCCTGAAATCCCTGGGTACTGTGTTTCAGTGCAGTCTTTTTCCTTTTGAAGCTGTGTGTATTAATGTATAGCATTTACACCTTTGAAGGTTATGTACGATTTGTGTATGTGTATTTCTTAGCTGCACCACAGAGCTGACAACTGCATGTGTCATGGAAAAGAAGCCATTAATTACATCATCAAGTAGTGTAGCGTCACAAGATCCCTAAAACATGATCCTCCCTTTCTCTGTCCTGCTCCCAGAAGGAAGATAAAGCAGTGTGAATGTTTGAGAGGTGGAGCTCTGAGGGTGGGGGATAACGAGAGCACTGGTGCAAGAAGGCCAGGTGGTTCCTGAAGCAAGATGTCATTTAGGCATATCCTTCGTTCACTCTTGTGCGTTTACTCAGTATCTATTAACCAGGAAAAACAGCAATGAAACATCCTGTGACCCCATTCGGATCTTTATCTGCCCTCTTACCATCTCAGGTGAATGGAAGCCAAGTCATTTTCCACATTCAACTCCCTTCCCCATACCTAGCATCTTTAAGATAGACACTAATCTTTCTTGAAATGCTGAGGATGAATTGTAGTACTGCAGTAAAGGATACAGTTAGGGATGATGTCTAGACGGGGGCTATTAAAAACTTTCTTCTGAAGTGATCCCAAACAGCCTCAATATTTTCCTTTTTCTTCCTTCCCTGGATACTCAATTAGACTCCTGTTTAATAAGAGTTGTCTTTATGGTCTTAGAAAGTAAAAATGCAAGAGTGAAGTGATTCCCCCCCCACCAGTCTTTGTGCAATTCAGATATTACCTGTAAGATGAAAACAGGCTACAATGGAGTATTGTTTCTCTTTCACATTACAAAGATAATGAAATTGTAGTCTGTTTTTGCTTTGAATAAAAATATTTTCCCATATAAACTGTACAAAAGACAAAGATGCTGGTTCTTTGAAAATACAGTTAGCTATTAAGGATTTTATTTGGTATGTATTCTTCATAAATCTTGTTATACAATCCATCATAATAAATTAAGAAGAAAAATGTATTTCATCTCAGTTTTAGTATAAAAGGTTGGTATACCTGTAGTCATGCTTCAGTGTTAGTTTACAAAGAATAATACTGCTTTAAAAGATCCCAGACCTGCATAAAAATTTCGTTCTTTCTGTTCTGAGCCAGGAGAAGCCATGCTTTAAGGGTTCCTTGATTTCTCTTCTAACAAATTGAAAAAATGCTGCATTCAGTGCTCAGGGTAGGAAGATGAATGAGTGACTGTGAGACATAGATCATAAAGTATTCAGACTTTTAACATGTGGAATGTCCCTGAAGATAAAGGGGGGTTTATAACATTAATTAGGAAAGACACCTTAGTAGTTTAACAAAATTAGAAGGAAAGACAATATTTGTACACATGCAGTGGCTTTTCCTTTAAATATTAAGTAGAATTACCTGTTCTCTGAGCAGGTAAGGATCTCTTAAATGTGAATACGGAATGTTGTGTAACATCTGTAGCACAGTATTAAAATGAGCTTTCAGTTTTTGCTGGGAAGAAAACTGTAGAGAGAGAGAGAGGACAGATGGAGGAGCTGCTATTTCATACGTGCAAAATTCCATTTGGTTAAATTGGAAATACCTATTGCACAGGTAAACTCTGTGTTATTCTAGCACTGGACCTTCTTGTTAACAGTCTGTACATATCCGGAATATTTCACTCAGGTGTTACTGAAGTACTGTTTGAAAACTATGTTTCAAATAAAACATGGCTAAGTGATTTGAGGGTTTAGGTAAACAGTGCTGTACTTTCTTAGGATACACTCTTAATTGTATCTGAAAAAGGCACTGTGTCCTTACTTTCAGGGAAGTGGCTGAATCGGGACAATGCACTGGGTGTGCTGTATTAATTAGATAAGGAGATCTGCAAGTCTGCTTTTTTTCAGAACAATAAGATCAAATTTCACAAATACTTAATCACGCATTTGCCTGAATGATATAGTGATACAGAGGGTGGTATCTGCACAGGGTTTTAATTAAGTTTTTCTGCACATCTTCCAAGCAAGGTACAACATGAGAGTAGTGTTCTCGTTACTCTGCAGCTAGTGTTTGGTGGCTTTGACAGGAAGCCACAAAAATCTGTTAAAAGAGACTGAGCTTCCTGGTCAAAATATTTTTTTATTCTTAGAAAAATTAAAATTTTTATTGTGACTAAAATCACAGGTACCTTTTGAGAGGTACCTCAGTACCTCCACTTTTTAAATTATAACTGAATTTGTAAAAGCTTCTATTGGTCCTAACTGTTCTCTTATCTTGCACACTGAGCCTCCCACAGAGACTTACTGTAAACTGTGTCAGTGCAGGTGACAGTGTTCACAACTCTTTTAGCTTTATTTGGTTCACACCTTGAGGACTTAGAGCCAAGAATACTGTTAGGTGATGGACAGAAAGAGATTTCTGTTGGTAAAATTATGCGTGATAAAGCTGGAGGAGATGGATGAAGATGTTCTCATCCCATATAGTGGTCACAAAGCATATTCCAAATGAGGCAGATAATGTTCCTAGATTTTTTTTCTGGATGTTCTTCGCTAAGAAGAAAACAGATGGAATTTTTCTTCTGAATGCCTACATTCACAAAGGTACTTTAATAACATGAACTAGAACAAATGATGCTCAATTCTCCTCCTGTTGAGAAATTGAGGGCTATTTGGAACGTAATTTAGCCCTATTTTTATTCTCTGAAAGCCTGTTTGTGTGGATGTTCCTGACATTTACTGAAATTTAATTTTGAAATTTAATTTGCAAACAAGATTTACTTTAGCTCTGTTTTGAAGTACTAATGTATACAGAGATCAAAAAACCCAAGAGATTTTGGAGTTATTACTGCTCTTCTATGAGACTGTGAATCCATAAAAAATTACTTCAGTTCAGAAAATTAGAAAATTGCATATTAAGTATGTTCAGTCATGCATAAAATTATACTGTTGTGGTTATCAAGCGGTCAGCATTTTGGTTTTCTAAGCGCATGAATGAGAGCGCCTTTCTTCAGAAAATTCTTACCAGTTACATCACTACTTTTCTGCCCCACCTCAAAAAGGGAATATATCCTCTTTCTGTTTATATTGATTATGGTTGGAAGATCTGCTGTTAAGATATAAAATATTTGAGCTAGGTATTTCTAGAATAAAATGGTTAGCTCAAATTTCTGCCATAATCTTGGGAGAGGAGGTTCTTATGTCTTGTCTAATTTAATTATTTGTTAATATAATTATTCTATTGTCGTGTTTTGCCTGTAAAGCTCTTGAACAGTTATCAGAGAGATGCAAAAAATTTTTTTTTTTTAATTTTTTTTTTTTTTAAATGTCCAGGTCAAAATCGAGACAGCATGCTTCATGGTACAGGAATGAAGACAAATCCTGACCAAAAGAAACAAGCAAATGGAGTAACACTCGCTCCAGAGGACACCTTACCTTTTCTTAAGTGCTACTGCTCAGGACATTGTCCAGATGATGCTATTAATAACACATGCATGTAAGTATTGTGTACAGGATAGAAGAGGCTCTTTGAAGAGGCTCATTTTTGCTTGTGAGAGAGCAAACTATCTCTCGAGCGCTGACTGAGGTTCTGTCAGGTGATTTGACCATAACTGATTAGAAACTCACTGGTTCTGTGGAGAGCTGAGCACTAAAACCCAGTCACCTGTATGTAAACAATACTGCTTTCACCATACCTTAGAACCACTTGCAACCAGTCATTTTGCCCCCAGCCACTGCTTTGAGGGACAGAGGTTTTAAATAACCTGTAGCATTTTATAACTGGGTGAGTATTAAATGACCCAAATCTAAACCTTCTGATATGACTACCTGCTTGCTTAGTCTAATATTTCTTCACCTAGTAGTCAAAAGGTAATGTTAGAAACATAGACATTTACTGAGAATTCTTCTTGTTACATGTTCATTAGTTGTAGAGTATGAGGGAAAAGCAGGGGAAAAAAAAGAAAAATCTCTGAACATATAGGGACAGGAGGGTAGTTTTAGCTTTGATAGGCGTAAGAATCCTAACAAACTCATGCACTGATTATGTGCTTGCTTAAGATGGTTTTTTCATGTCACGAAATGTTCCTGTTATTCCTTTTTTCTCTTCATTTACCATTCCATGTTTAAGGCCCTTCTGTTTTCTTCCTTAAGAAATAATATAAAGATACATAATAGAAAACATATTATTTGCTACTGTAATTTGTGTCTTCACTTCTAATATAGTGTGAGATAAACACGTAATAGTAAGCCTGTCTAAAGCTGTCACTTGGCAGATAAAGCAGTTTTTGTGGAACCCAAGGAGGTGGAATAAACACTACTATCTTTTTAAATGTAAACACAGGTAGTATTTTACAAACATAGTTTTGCACCTGGAAAATGTTCGGTTATGATCCAGTATTTTGTTTTTAAATTCCTTTGGCATTTATTTTTTGCTTTTTATCGCCCTCTAGTGTATGCGGTCAGTATAGGCCTTATTAATTTTTTGCCTCAGAACTAATGGCTGTATAGATCACTATTCTGATAATAAAGCTGTTAGAGAGTTAATAACACTTATGCGGTCTTCATGTGCAGGGTATTTTATGGCATTATGCTTCCCAAATCTGCATTTCTTTACATTCATTTAAATAAACAATTTCTGGCAAACAAAAATATTTTTGGATTTGTTTTCCTTAGTATCTGTCTTGAGGGAATGAATGAATGAATTTTGATTTACTTAATAAAATCTTAATTTTACAGGTATTGAAAGCACTGACCTACCATTGCTAATTGGTTTGGGATTCCTTACAAATATTGACGACATTTTCATGTAGTATAGAAGTGCCGTTTTTTTGAAAGAACATAATCTATTTGTACTATCAACTTCAGAAAGTGGGTTTGGGTGTTTGTTTGTTTTGCCCTGAAGGCTGAATATTTGAGAGAGCTTATGTGGGAAAAGTATAGTTGAGCTTTTGACCTTGAAATAGCCACCTTTCACATACTGCTGGGACTTCAAGAGTTTATCATTGCAGTTTCAAGAACAGACACAAGTGAATGGTTTTTTTTTAACCTATAAAATTGTAGTCAGTAAGCCGCCTTAGTCAGATCTCCGCTCTTCCACCCCCTCAGTTGTTTCTGAACAACTGCGTGTGTGTGGTTGGATACAAGCAATCTTGAAGGGGGGTGAGGAAGTAGAAGACAGAATATTCGTGAGAAAACATCCCTACAGTGTTCTATTTGAAAATACCGTGGGGGTCTTTTGTTCTCAAACTGCATGGTAACCACTGTGTTAAAGAAGAATTTTTCTAGATACTGCCATTCTAGTATTCTTAATGGGCTCGTGGTCAACTAATGCTGCATATTAAACAACAAACATGCTGGTAAAGCACAATTGATATGTTTATTCCAGAACTAACGGGCATTGCTTTGCTATCATTGAGGAAGATGAGCATGGAGAACCCACGCTTGCTTCTGGCTGCATGAAGTATGAAGGTTCAGATTTCCAGTGCAAGGTAAAAAAAGGAGGTATCATTAAAATTCAAGACCTCCGTGGAGATTATGTAGGGAAACTGCATAAGCAGTTTAAATCTCTCTAGTTTACAACTGCAATCATAGAATTTTGCATGTTGCCATTTACTGCTGAGGAGAATGGGACTGAACAATCGTGGGTGAGTAGTGACAGAAAGGACACTTAATGGTATTTGAGCAGAGATTGGAATAGAATCCTAGCTTGTTGGAGTTCTCTGCAAGTATCTGTAAGCCACTGACAAAATGAACAGAAGACATCAACCTGTGACTTCTGTCAGCTGTTGCCTCAGTTGAAGAGACAACTTTATAGTCAACCTAATTGATCTGAGTAGTTTATGTTTTAATGCAGAATTTCTTGATTGTTTTAATTTGGAATTTCTTGTTTTCTTCAGTTCATTTGACAGAAGAGCATAATCATAAGGAATTGTCTTCACAGATTACACAAGAGCTCCCTTAAAGTTTCATGAACATGTACACACAGTTTATCAAATGTGTATGTTTTCCTGTCCTTTGTTTAACATTTTTTCCCTTTCTAGAAGAGTTATGTATCATTAATTGCATGAATAGAACTTGCTTTTGATTTAAAGAGGTATAATTAAGCAGACTGCTGCCTTTAGAACTTCTTTACCTGTTACGAAAGTTGGAACTGAAAACACAATAAAGCAAGGATTTGTTTAGAAGACAGGGATATAGCGCTAGCTGGGCAAATGAGTATTGCCTTGGAAGACTGGATTTTGCTTTTTCTTTTGTCACATTGCTTACATTAAACAAAGCTTTCAGAGGTAATCACCAGCTGGGTTGCCTCCCCTTCCCCC